CAATGAAAAATCACTTGTATCGCCTGTGGTCCCGTAGACTAACGATTTGCTCGGCAGTAATGTCGCAATTGGTTCCTGTTGCAAACCAGAATAGTCCAGGGGATCGTCCTCGGTCGTGAAATACGGAGCATAGCAATCAGAGCTTTTGTGAAGAAGTCTGATCATCACGCTGGCGGCGATCCTGGTGTTCGTTTGACGTCCCGAGACATCCTGTCAGTAACCGCACCGCGGTCCAACGATCATCATGATATTGTATAACGTGTCCGGTCCACCTGATCTTCACATCCTTGTCGTGAGCAACGTCCTACCTAGCCCTGCTTCGGTTATCAAGCTTGGACCTCCACTTTTCTCTTTTTCAATACAGTTAAAGGCACATAAGCGAGAACTGTCCTCCGCCTCACGTCTAAATGTGCTTGATGCTCCTTGAGCCTCCTATTGCATACACCAGATACTGTCAAATGGGATTCGGTATTGTTGAGTTCAATGAGTTTCTCAGGTTCTATCGAATCCAAATTAATGTTTCTTCCAACCTACTGGTGACTTACTGCTTCTCTACTCCATCTCCAGCATCATACGCTATACTACCTTTACTTCTCTCAGCCGATAGACGTAGACTAGAGAGTAGGCAGCAGTCTTTGCCTTTGATGACGCGGTAACGTTCATTAGACTCTTCCTAGAACCTCGGGGTGATCCTAGACACCAGCGAGAGTGTAAGAGTTCGGAAAATTTTTTCGAGAAATTTAAATTTGAAATCGTATGTTACGATTTTGTATCCGATCACCTATTATTTATTACTTTATTTACTTCATAATTTGATTGCTCGATTTTGTTAGTCAACTCTCGTTTGATTTGACCTCTGACCTCAGCTCTTCAATTGAAAGGTAGGAATGGTTGGGAGGGAACGGTGGGATGGGTTCTTCCCTCTTATACTATACTTCTTGTGCAATGCTCTCCCACTCTCGGTATAACTCTTCTCGCAAATCGTTGCCCTGTACTCCCTTCGCTCAGTCATAAAACGTGGTGCCCTTTCGTTGCCCAAGTTCAGGATCACGTTTATTACTCGCCTTTAATGAACACGGCCACTCAAGTACAAAAGACCTTTAGTCATAATCAGTCACTTGACGTGAGAATCTGTAGCGTCGATCTCATTTCGCTAAGTTTATTCCTCCTTCACTGTTCTCGGTTTTTTTGTTCCCGATTTTACTCTAGACGACGAATTAGTTTTACTTTCTAGTGAAAAATACTTGTTGCCTACTTTGACAATAATGTCTCGTCAGTTGTTGAGGCTGTTATAATCTGAAAAGGGCCTCCATGTTTCACTTGTGTTTCATTCTGCCTTGCACCTTTACTACCTTGAGTTGACTCTTTTTCCAAAAGGTACTATAGAAGTAGTAGTTTGTGTTGTTAGAATGGTAATCATGTGGGCACTTGGGAAGAATCAGAACCTATCGGGATGACTTGAACCAGGGTTGAAACAAGTGGGAAGTACAAATTTTTGTTTTGGAACCCTGAGGCGTTTGCAGTAATTCTTGTATAGACTATGTCGCTGTTATCGGATTTCAAGGCTCCTGAATCATCGTTGTCATCCCTCTTTCACCCTCTGAACGCTTGAATGCATATCTCAGAGAGATAATGAGTCAGAAATATATTTTTAGCTAAGTTCAATCGTTTGGAAGGATTTGTTGAGTTTCTCAATTTACTAGTTTCGAATCACAATTATCTGTAAGCTGTTGAGATTAGAAATTAAGAAACGAAAGGAAATAGTTGATCTAAAGGCAGGGGGAGGAGATACGGAAAGAAGCAGTTTTACTTTCGACAGGTTTTTGGGAAATCACGTTTCCAGGCGTCCTTTGCGAGCATTCGGGGGCGGAGATACTAGGTATTGCACTTGGTAACTGGTTTGCCCGGGAGAGGGAATTATTGAAATCTCCCAGTAAAAATTTAGGTAGAGACATAGGTAAATCGACAATGTTTGTTGATCATAATACTGCAAACCAGAATAACTACGTGAATTTCCCAAGCATGAGAGGTAAAAGTTTCTTTTGAGTGCAAGGTCAGACGAGAATAAAACTATTTACGCACAAAACATTCCTGCCTTCGAAAAATGTGGCAGGTGTCAACGACAGTTGCAATCAGGTGTGAGAGTCTTTAGAATGAATGCTAAAAACCGTGATAGAAGCTGTTACTGGGATATAGGGCAGAGTCGACTGACGGCACTTCTCTCCCATGGGTAACAAACAGATGGGAGAGAAGTGCTTTGAAAGTTAAGCTGACACTATTGGTTTCCATATTTGTAATCGGCGCCCTTAACTGTGGAATTACTTTCGATTTTCATTTGAACATCATGGGTATTTCGACGTTTCTTATAAACTATGTACTCTGGAAAGATAAAATCAAATCATCATCAAGGAACTCTTGATATTTGATATGGAAGTTGAACGTTAAGAAAGCTTCAAAACGCGACCGACTAAGGTTTCAAGCTTTGGTTTCGGGTTGCACAGAGCGAAACTCTATCGTGGATGCGCGTTCAGTAATTGCAACTCGGGCTTAGAGCACTGCCTGCATTTGGTTCATCCTTCCTGGATGCCTTTCTCAAAATCTTGCCACCTCATATCAACAGGGAACGGTTTTCATTCCTGGGCTGCTTTCTATTGGGGATCAAGTATGTGTAGAGGAGTTCTCGACGGTAGCCATCTTTTTCGACGCCATTTACCCTTTTTCATTTTATCATTTTATCGTCAGCCTTTCTTAATTTCTTTAGCCAGAGCGACGAATCGGCCACATAGAGGTCCCTGATATTGAGAAACTTTTTTTTGTTGATGATTCTGAGAAACGCAAACTTTTATTGTCGGAAAATTCTTTCCGAAACAGCTGATGTGAGCAATTTTTGCACTTTCACAACCTCGTGAACGCCCTTAGATCACCTCATGTGATAGGAAATAGTGGTGTAGCGTACCAGATGAGACCACTTCGAAGGCCTACACTGTAAAGGTGGAAATGAACTTTTTCAAGTGTAGAACTGATGACTCATTCGAAGCCGGCTACTTTTGAGGCCGGTTCGAAAGAGTTACAGAAGTCAAACAGTTGTTGAAGGTATGACTCAATAGTTCCAACATCAACTACATAAAATTGATCAAATTCCTCGGAATACGGGTAGATCTGGTAATCGATAATATGGTTCTTGACAGGTTTTAACTTTTTCGGAAGTGATTTGGGGTGGGATTTTCTCGTTCACAGGACTCAATGTCGAATTCTTTTTCACTTTTGCCGGAACAGATCCGAGTTACTTGTTTTTTCTCTGATTACTAGTAGTTAAATGATTGCATATTATCAGAATAATGAGTAGATTAAGAGAATAATCACTGTATCAGTGATAATAACTGAATTATTAGGCTAATTTCTGGGAAAGAATTATCAAGAATTATCATTCGTCTGCTTTAGCTTTACTTCAGTGCCACACCCCCTCTCTTGTCGTATTTGCCGATTCTTTTCACTTCGTAGTATACGAAAGGCGCACTTGGAGAATGCTATCTGGTAACTCTTTGTATATTATTTATAATATAACTATCTACCAAGTACTTATTCTAAACCCGAATCTCTTTTGGAACTTTATTCGAAAGCTTTCCATCTAGGCTTCACAAAGTCTCGCGATCGGGTCGTACCAATTCATCTATCATAGTTCACTTTGAACCTTCTTTTAGCCTCTCTTCTACAGCTGGGTTATTATTTTCAATGCTGGCTTGCTGTTACTTCCTTCCTTGTTATGCTTCCTTTTTTGGCTTTGCCACCCATCTGGGCGTATTAAAAATTAACTGTGGTGTCTATATCGATATGAGTGCAAGTAGAGTATGTGGCGCATCCTATAGGATTAACTTACAGTCTTCAGTGCCTCGCTACCTCCCTACATTGTTATTCAGGACATTCCTTTTTGTGTCTCATTCTTTTCATCTTCCTTCGTTCGCATTCACTTCCCTTTCCTGAATAGACATATTTATCTGAACTTATAAAACTTTTGACTACACCTTTAGCTAATTATTTAAAATTTTGATCAAATTAAGTTTGTCGTCGTCGGTTTGGTTGAACTTTGAAGTCTAATGTTACATAAATCGTGGTGACTGTATAACAACGACACCAGTGCCATTAGTCTTCGTCAATAACCTTGACTACTCATGACTTTACCTGTGTTATTACCATTTTAGAAGTTTCTACCCCTACCGGTATTTCTACTTCATCAATGAGTTCCAACTCCCTCAATGTGGTTTTAGGTATTACGGGAGTTAACTTCCATTCCTGAATCACATCAGAGCCTCTACGTATACCTCTACCCATACCTTCACTTTTCCATTATAGTTCTATCACGTCGCTTCTCACAATCAGTAGGGTCTGTTCTGTTTCTGTACATGTACCTCGCCCTTCTTCATAAGTTTCTCCTCGTCTCTGCTCGTAGTTATTGGATATTTGTGGAGGAATTTCTGCCTCAATACCGTGTCCCTTCCATGTCTTCACTCTTGACTTATCCCTCTTCACTCTACCACTACCTCCTCAGTAATTTGTATTTTGTCATTGCCATTAGGTTTGGACCATGATCGCTCACCTATATATCTCTACCTTTTCGATGAAATGCAACTCTGCATTGCTCTAATCGTCTATACGGCTCCGACAAATCGTATTACAGCAGAATCGGCACTGTTTTCAGGAGCCCTTGCCCTTGATGATCGATCCAGCATTTCAGTGATTAGTTGTTTTAATGCTTGACGTTGTCGACACATTCTGTATACCGCTTGCGGTTTTAAGTTTAGCCTATTTTTTCTTTACTTATTATACGACATCACGAACGCATAACAAAGTGCACCAGAAGGAGCCTTACTCAAGGTTTGTCGATCCTCAGTGTCGAAGTTTTTCTAAGTTTTCTGGATTTTCCTAAAAGAATTCCAAGAATGAACATCGATTCAAAATCGCAACTAAAAAAAATTAAAATCCATCTCTTATGCCACAGTAGGATGAATTCTCCAAATTCGGACAAGGACTGGTGCGTTTCCACTTTAGTTAACCTATGTACATGAGCGCTGAGTCTGATTAAAGGCGGCTATTCCTATAGAAACGTCTGTTCCTGCTTTTCAGGAGTCATTAAGAGTCATTATGCTGGTCGCTTAACTTTTTTGCCCCGATAACGTCAGCTGTCCAGTTTCCTGTGGCTTAAGTGCTTCTCAGTATGTTGTTTGCAGAAGTAGATCTTAGTACGATGTGTACTTCTGAGAAAACTATTGGCAACAGTTTCATTTTATTCGGAAAAGGGCCATTGGGCGAATTTGCAATAAGTTGTGCTTGTGCATGGCCCGATCGCAATTTTCTGACACTCCTTGGCTGGTAATCAGTTTCAGAAAGCTCATAATTTCACAGTGGAAAATCTGGAAACTATGCAAAGGAGTTGTCTCCAAGTCTGTACCCAAACCTCATAATTAGCAATTTTAGTGGCGCTCTGGAAAACGCGACCAAACAACTGGATCATGTCATCGATCAAGCTCGCCACAAACATAGCCAACATCGCAACAAATTCAAAGAAGCTATCGACTATCTTGATCAGATTTTCGAGGATCTCAAAAAGGAATGCGATACGGTGAGTTCAACCAGTAGCGTATTCCTTCAACGACGGTATACAGTGTGAATACGGTAGGGGTGAGGCGGCGAGATATGGTAGTTGATAATCAAGTCGAGCGGTTCTCCACTTACTTTGGGACGATTGTCAGTCAACCCTTGAAAAGGGAATTCACTAATGGGAAAGCTGTTTCCTCGCTTTCACGTCCATGATATACACTGCCTTCGCAAGGGTGATAACAAAAAAAGCTCGCGTACATGTCCAAGTATACAAACAACCGTCTAAATATACAAACAACAAAAACAACACCCAATCCCTCCTTTTGATGGAGTTAAAATTCTCCTCTTTTCTGATTGATATTCGGTAGATACCCTTGCGTAGACGCTGTGGCAGTTTTACAGTGCACACATAATACCAACTGGTCACCAAATTTTGCGGAAGCCTTAAAACTCAACGTTCACCTTGTCAGTACAGTAGTCGGGATATAGTCGGATCACCGACTCACAAACGAATTTTCCTTTCCTTTGGTTTTGAATTGTTTTACTGAACTACTCCAGTATGTCGCAGTGCCCACCAGGGATTTTTGATGCCCTCCCAGAAGGCTAAAAATCGCCCGATACTACCTACTTCCGGCCGAATAACAAAGCTGTCATGACTTTACCAACTGTTTCGGTTAGAGTTCTCCTTGTGTCCGCGGCGTTCTTTACCACCTGTCCCTTAGGCTGGAGCAACATTTGTCTTGACTCTGGCGGCCAGGTGAGAAATGAGAACGGCATGGCGATGGTATGAAATAGGAGCCGTAAAGCTGCCACAATGCTTGCGGAAAGACTTCGTTGGGAGTGGGGATCTTGTAGGGGGAAGCTCTTTTGAGTTTTCAACTAAATTTAGGACTTAGAGAAAATAATCATGTGTTCGTGAGCTTTGAAAAAAAGAGACCCTGTTTTGAGTTGATGTTTTGTCGATAGTGTAGGGGATAAAGAGCACGCCTTCTGGAAAGCGCAACTATAGACTCCAATCCCGTACGACGATGAGAATTTACCCCATAAATAACTAATCTTCAAATATAAGAGACCTCATTTTCGGACTGAACATATATGGCATTTTACCCTAAAACCCACCAATAAAATGTGAATGTCCATTGCTTGTGGGTGGATAATATTGGGAGGTGAAAGACTCCAATTCTTTGCCCTTACGAATTATGGTCTCAAATGCACCTGTGGAGCTTTTTGTCGCAAGTGCTTTACAATGTGCGAAGGTTCGTCAGATTTTTTTTGATCCTCAGTACTGATAATAGTGCAAATGATTTATAACTAGCAGTAGCCTGGTTATTTACTGTTTTATTGTTTCTCCAGTAGCGGAAGTCAAAATACCTGATGCTGCGTTTTGTTGTTTGAAATTTACGATGAACAATTGCTTAGGGCAAAACAACTACACAGCTCCCTAGATCATCAGCGCTGAGCGTTGATTGAACAGCTTAAAGTCAGCAGAAATCTGGCTACATGCTTTTTCTTTGTCGATGGTGATCAGAATAGAGCTGGTAGTCTCGTGAAAAAAACTCACCGCGGGCATTTCGTTCCCTGAGACCCGGCGCTGTGTTCTTCTCTTCTCTGATTGGGTGAACTTAGTCAAAAAATCGATAATTGATCGGCTCACACTAACGGATTATTTGGTTTCTGATCAGTATTCCCCTAAAAATGTGGCTCATGTGAGTAGAGGGGTAGAACGGATAAAGTAAATAATGTCCCTTCTAGAGTGCATACCCTATTACATTAGATCGGGAATCGTGAGAGAACCTGACCACGTACGGAACCCACATTTGGTGGTCGGCCGAGTCTGCCTGCAAATGATTACCGTATGCAGAGGGGGTTCCAGTTGGGAGAATCTTGCTTCCTACAGAGACTTCAAGGCTCTCTGAGAATGTGATACTCGGTCTTTCAGCCAATCGGTATGGAATTCTATGATTTTGTAGGGTGGCGAGGATGTCTTGGATCGTACTCCAAGGTCTGCAGGTACGTCGACCACGACGACCACTCCACGTACTGTCAATTCAGACTCCATACGGTGAGTGAACATTCTTTCCTATGCATACTCTGGTTTCCTCAACACTTTCGACTATGTACTCCAAAGTCAAAATTTACTAAATCCTGTAATGTGCCTGAACTTCGAACTTTACATGCCTTCAAATATAATCGTACCATTACTTACGCAGTACTTCTCTAAGATTACTGTATTTACCATAGTCATTTGGAAGAGTACAAACATCAGAGAGGACATTTGGAAGTGTTAGCTTTTCACACAGCACACCTCAGAGTTTCCCATTGAGATCGATAACTATTTTTCGCGTGCGTGTGCTGATAGATATCATTCAAATTTTATAATTCAAAGATTATTTTTTGAACACCCAGCATCATGATGAGTGCCAAAGTGTTTTTGGTTAGCGAATAACGAGAAGATTTACTGTGGAAATTGACCTGGTCTGAATGAGCTAGACGTAACCGGGCAGCAGAGGGTCCCTAATGTAATGGAGTGGTAGTTCGGTAGTGGGAGGCCCCTCATCACACTAAAAAGGCCGGGTTCTTCATGGCCGAACTTCGAATCAAGGCTACAGCACATATAAGGAGAATATGGTGTAATGAAGTTGTAAATCGAATCAAACTTGAATAAAGTTCAAAAAAAGCAGTTCGCGAGTGAACCCAGCCGGATACTCTGCCTATTCTAACAGTGCCCGAGTATCGCTCAGCAATTTAATGTTCTTCTTTATGTATTTTTTCGTCTGCACAAATGCAACACTGATATTAGCACGTTTGCTTTTACTGCAAACTAAGGAGCAATTGCTTTGCGTAGGCAAGTGATGACGGCAATGGTAACAAAACCACCACGACCGCCAGTCAGGCAGACGGCAAATGCACACCCACAAGATGTTTGTTCTCCTTTCGCCCTTCCACATGGCTATTTCTGGTTTTTATGGTTCAGCATGTAATTCAGGGTCTTTTGGCACCTTGAAGCACCAGGCTATAATTTCCATCACGTTTATAGTCAGCGTTGTGTACTCGAGAGCGAGTTGGTCTATTGAATTGTCTGCTCCTATTTTATTATTCTCATTAATCCTCTGGTGAATTTGGAACTAAGTTGGACAGCTCCTGTAGAGAGAATAACTTGGGTGGTTCGACCCAGCGCCCCCATGGTGATTCCATTTTAAAGGTATCGAAGTCTATTTAAGAACGGTTTCGAAAAATACTTGGGCGTAAGACCAACCAGTTGGGAAGGTTTTCACAAAGGTGCCGGCGGGACAATATAAATGTGTCGAATTGCCTCTGTTTTGCAAGTCATTTGGAACGCTTTATCGTTTTACGACCTCCAATGAAGAGCTCGAAACGATAGGAGGAAAACACCCAGATGGCTTCACTTGTAGCATCTGGCCGCTTGTCGACCATGGATCAGCACCTCAAAATATCTTTCGGCCATTGTTATGATAGGATAACTTTTAGCGAAAATATAACCCGGTGATACCCTCAGCCGATGACCCCGTACTAATCCCTCATCCGCTCCTGGTTTTCCCGCCCACGCCGCGACAACTCGTCCCAAAAGGGCTCCGTCCAGGTTTTTTTCACTCCAAGTAATATTTCTTCAAATCGAAACCCCGCTCCGATGCTTCAATTCGTCATCATCGTTTCTCATCACTATATGTGTCTCCGCAGGCAGTGTACTCTCTGAGCTGCCGATTGGCCGCATATTGGTCATCAGGGCGCGAGTGTTGCTCAGCCAACGTCCGACCCCTCACACAGTGTAAAATATGGATTGCATTTCACTTTAGCCGGCGATCACACCCCGTGTTCGCGTTTTGCATTATGTGCACACACCATTAGTACGTGTGCTATCAATCGGACGTTTCTTGGTGTGTCGTTGTGAGAAATGCTCATCTGCATTTTATATCTCTTCGCTCAAGAATAACTGTTTCGTAATAACTTCCAGTTTTCCAATGGGTTCAGTTTGATGGCCTTCCTCCAGGTTCAAGTGGTTCAAGTGCTTCATTCTCAAGATACGTTATAGGGTCCGAACCTTTGTTAAGTCAAACATCGTCTTCAACTCTTATGGAGGACCGCTGTTTTGCGTAACATCATCAATAAGTAATAAAAAAATAAATAAATATTAAGTTGAATTGTGAGGCCTTCATTCTGGTTCGCGGTGGTTCAGATGTCGATTCTTGAGGTCTCAATTGGAGAATTCTGATTTTCTAGAGAGAATACAATCACGACTTTTAAACTACTACACCATTTATTTCTGTGCATAGCGAATGAGTTGCACGATGAACCTCAACCTCATGTGGTCCTCAACAAAATGAAGGAGAGGCTGTAGTCGCATTGTCCTCACTAACATTTAGACTTTTCTGAGTGCGCACACGAGTCAGGCTTTGACCGCAATGCAACCGCTTTTGCTAATGTTCAGAGTTGCTAAAAGAATATCGAAAAAAGATCTTTTCTTTTCACCTTGTCAAAAAAAATAATCCTTCTTTCAACTAACCATATGCTAATGTCCAAATTTATATATACTTCTTGGCTTTGAAGAAATAAATTTCAGAAATTAGTAGTAGGAGGTCCCCATGGGCAACAGGAAGCGCTTTTAGGTTCTATGTTTCTCTTTGTTAGCTTCTAGAGTACGATTCGATCAAATGTAAAGTTTTGGTCTCGGTTTTGCCGTCGAACAATCTAGGGTTGCGCCCTCGAATGTACTTCTATTCAGAATCGTAGTGATGTTTGAATGTATATTCGGCCTATAAAATAACTTGCTCGAGCTAGACAGTGTCAGTCTGGGCTGGAACTTGTTCTCGGATATACCTTCAATGCTGAGTACGTATGATACCCCTCACCTCCGAGTCACTTTAATTTGTAAAACAGAAAGTCGACAGAATGTCTATTTCTCAACACAATGCAGGACATATGGGACTATCTGATGTACAAGTCGTTATGTAGAACATTCCCACAAGCGCGGATGTGTTGCGGTTTTTTCGTGAGTTGACCATAGGAAGATTTAAAGTGAGGAAATCACTATGGCAGCTATAGTAGCCATGGCTATGCGATTGTAGTGTAGCGTTAAACTAGACGATAACCTGCGTTTCATAGCTGTCCCGCTTTCCGGCGGACGTGTTACACTGGATGCAATTCAGTTGTGTCACCGCGTAGGTCGTAACTTGTCGTAGCTTGTTCGATAGCCAATCGAAGGACAACAAGCTACTACAACTCGTCCAAAGTTTTGCTTTGAACTCCATTACCAACTTATGGCCTCGCCGGAGAACTCGTTCAAAACTTTGGCTAATGCGACTTATTCTGATATGCTGCCTAATACTGAGGCTTTCTTCGTGCTCTTTTGAACTGAAACACAATGTGCTATTTTGAAATGACGTCAATTGTTTTCCAGTCACAAAGGTTCAGTAGTTTCAGGGAACGTGGCTCATGCTTAACTTGTTATTGATGAGGCACGTCATGAGTTTTACAACAATAAATATCTGTCAGTCATGCCGTTCAGTCAAGTTAGACTCGTGGCGATCAGCGACAATAGCAATCTGTTCCTTTTACCGGGAAACTCGTCCACATTTTGCATCTGGCTCTTGATTCTTGATATCCTTATAGCCAGACTCGCTGTAGAGTTCGGGAGAATGCTTTGTTCAACGGACTAATATAATGTTCGAAATGTGTATACGATTTTCCGGAAATTCTATTTTCTTAGAGAATTTCTGAGGTCCAAATAAGGGTCCTGATGAAATTTCACACCAGTACTCGTCCAGCCAAGTTTTCTTTTCTTTTTACTCAATTGAATGCCTCGGATTTGCCTGAGAAGATGTAAACGTTGACCTGGATATCGTTTGCCCATACTAAGCATTCAATGAGTGAAATACTCTTTCAAGTACTTTTGTGATTCTGACTGATATTCGTTTTTCCAAATGTGTTCAAAATCTAAATTGACCCTGCTAAAAATTATTTGCTTGATTTTGGTCTGCTATCGGCTTCTAAAATAATTTAGTGTGTTTGTCCGGATGGGTCGCCTATTATTTTTGATAATCTATTAATTATAATCACCTTTGTATGTGTCGGAAGTGTTTGACGTACTATTTTGAGGAAGCCAAATAAACACTGTAGATGATTGATTATTTTCAGACGGCCTACTGTTCTACATCCGACCCCATCAAAACCGTCCACCAGTACTCCGAAAAGAGCCGTTCGACCGGTTAAACCCGTTCAGGTAAAAGCTTGCCACTTTCTTCCGAGCTTACCGGATTCGGAACTTTTTATAAGTAGCCTCCCTTCACTAAACGTTGTTACGAGCGCATTCATAGCGATTACGAACCGGCAGTACGCGCGTAAAATCAATAATCAAGCCAACACATTCGTGTTTGGATCAAAAGCAAGTTGGAGTGTCAACCCAATGAGTTTTTATTCAGGTGATTATAGACTCTTCGCCAATTTTTCTTATGGCACTTGTTTGCTCATTCGGTGTTCAACTACTTAAAACCTTACTGGAAGGGTTGAAGTCAAGGAATGGAGTTCTGAATTCGGGAGATTTTCCTGGAATCGGTACAGTTGAAATGGATGACGATAAGGTGTTCAGGGCCTTCTATTACTTAGCTGTAGCGCCTGTTCACTGGGAACGGATCAAATAACAAGTTCAGTGGTTTTTGAGCAGAGGCTCAAGGGTCTATCGATTGATCGCCTATCCAAATTCCTATCCCTAGTTCGTTGGGATCGCAAGCAACGGTAGAGCCTAATCAAAAGTCGTAATCGTGGGGCGCTGGCGCTTGTATAGTCGTACACATTTCTGGTAATCCTGATGGGCGTTTGAAGAGTTGTGTTGGGAGTCCTACATCAACAGCGGTTGATTTCTCAATGTCTACCTCGGCTTAAACACTGATTATATGGTTTTAGTCCCTTTAAATCGATCCTTTACTAGACATGTTTTGCAGCTATATTACCCTACCAGCTTACTTTTCTCGGCACTTTGAACTCTCCTTCCACCTAGGTGGCTCTGTCGGCAACTTCGTCCTGTACTGTTTCAGCTTACGTGCATGTGTCTGGGATTTTTTTTGTCAGATTTTACAACTAGAAGTTCCAATTAGTTTCAGAAACTAACCGTTTGTACCTGGGCTGACCTCGAGAATACCACGAGCTATTTTCGAGTTTGATAAGATTCTGCACTCCAGAGCTGCAAGGATCTACCACAGCTTCACAGCCTCGTGAACTCTCAAACGGTCACGTTATCACCGCGCCCATGACTGCCCTCCACTGTCCAAGTTCTCAACGCAGTTGTTCCTCTCACATTTCTCCTGACGGACAAGTTTTGCTAAAAAGTTTAAGAGATCCTGTGGATAATCAATGAAACAGGTTTTCTGCGTTTGCTCTGTCGAGCTTCAATCGAGATTGAAATTAAATCGATTTGTTCACGAACGATCACCAGTCAGTATAACGTGGTATTCCCTAGCATAAAGATATTTACTTTTGCCAGTTATCAATGAAGGAAATTGCTTTTCTTTCCACTCGTCATGAGTGGGCGGAGTCCTAGAATTGGGCGGGTTAAGGTGAAGCATGAAGCGTTACGTTATCAGGGCTTGTAAACTTGGAACATGGTTTTCCCTGTGACTCTCCCATCAGGAATAATGGGAAAGTTGACATTGCAATGCTTTTTTAACAATGTCTCTCAAAAACCTACCGTTGGGAAAAGCTGTGTTCCATCATTCAGCAATGGGCGCTTTTTGAGCTTCTAAAAACTCTACGTAGTCGTTGACGTGCACTCTATCTGTCCGCACCAGATGATCATCACTCGATGACATCTGCTTCACAGCAGTCGCAATCCATTCGTTTGCTCTCCAACAACATTACTGGATTTCTTACTAGAATCACATGCTATTGCTATGTATTAGTTTTTCTCTGATGGATGCTTTAATCTTTTTCAACGTGTCCGTCTAGTTTTTCAATAGGTTCTTGGAAAACTAAGTATCATTCAATATCATTCATTATCACTCCTTATTATTTGGGATACCGCATCCTTATCGATCGCACGATCACGTTTTGATCCGCGAAACGCAGTTATTTTCTGTGGTCCAAAAAGAAAGAGCTGATTGCTATCAGAATATTTGCGGTTCCAGTTACGCTAGCGAATCGATGGCAGGCAGTATCCGAGTAGCCAGGCATACTCAGTAATACTTGGTAAAAAGTTTTTTTCGATTCCGTACCATTAGTCATAGCATAAAAGTTGGTTCGGGCAATAGTGTAGCCCACTGAGCGTACGTACACTTCAACATCAACATTGATGAGTTTAAAGTCGAGCTCAATGCTACATGTAATGTCTGAAGCAGGCTGATGTCTAGACTTTCAGATCGCATACTACAGCGAAATAACAGCGGTTAACAAAATATCAAATCAATTATAATTCTACAGCTAACCAAATCAGTTAGGAGGGCGCCAATTGGTATTCTCGTCTTCACTTTGCTTTGTCCGAGAGAACAAGTTATCTTTGGAAAGGTAGAAACCCCAGGGAAACCCTTCAGCATCAAGGAATACGGCGTGTAGTCCGTGAAATTTCACTTTGGCTCGGGTAGTTGTTGTTACTTTGCTCAAAGGGTAAACACATTGGCACGAGTGAGTTGTTGTAAGGGGTAGAGATGTACCTGGGTACATAGATTTGAACTACTGAGCATAGGCCGTCTGCATGGTGCATCCCTAGGTAGACTGGATAGTGCACCTCTGACGTTATCTATTTTTTGCCGACCGTTTCCATGTATTATTGTATTTCTAGTGCTTCTACTCTAGAAAAATTGAAGAGCATAACTTCCATATGCTCTTTACGATGAGGAACGAACTAAGAGGCTGGAGCAATGGGGCGGGTGGTGGGAGAAAGGAGAGATATTTTGGTTTTAACGTTCCTACGAAACAATTATTCTTTTCGTAACTGTGAAAATCAATAGAATGAATCCTTCCGATCCCGTCACCTCGTCCATCTGGTACACATACCTGTAATTATAATTGTAAACCAGGGTGTTGTAGCATCCGAATGAGAGGTGGAGGAGCAACTCAAAAAGCGCCACATCTGTTGTTTCCACTCTCGTTCGAACGCTCGTTTGGCGACACATGTAGTGTTCTGAACTCGCTTCTGCCTTTTGCCATTGATTCGAGTTTATTTCTATCTGATTGGTCGCGGGATTCCACGAAATCCACTTGTCTTCTTTTTTTCGTTGCTCATTTTTCTCAATGATACTAGCAAGCGGCTGTTGTGTCTGCTTTCGACTAAATTCTGCGAACAAGTGCTCCTGCCGGCATCGTTCAGGAGTGGCTGCTGCTGCTGCTACTGCCCACTGCAAAGTGCCATTCAAAGGAAAAAAGAAACTGAGCACCAAGAAACAGTGATTTACCTTTCAATGCTGCTTTCGAGCGGTTGCTGTTGGTTCACCCACAGTCGGCCAGCAAAACTCAGTCAAAGGCTGCGACTTCGACCTGTCCTGCTTTGGTCCTTAGCCCTCTTCCCTCCGGTGAACATCAGTACCCTATTTCATTGGACTATGGTCTACATTTAATTACGCAACTGGTTCTGGTCATGATATGGAACATCAAGATATTTCTTATTATACCAGCGTATTTTCATGGCTCACTCCTCCTTTTTTCCAGTAATTATTCAGTAATTAGTATAATCAGGAGAGTAGCCTATTAGGCAGCGTCTGAGCTTTCTATTGACTTGAAAGGTCTCACTGCTTCTCAATTAGATCCGATTTTCTTTCTTATGACAAAGTCGCCTTAATTGTAGCTCGAAAAAACTTTGCAGTTGCCGGTCGTTCCCCTTCTAGTCACTAATTGATCAGTTACTACATGGTATTATTCGAAACTTCCTATCGCAAAAGAACAATTTTTAGCCTCCATCGCCAGTCGAGGTCGTTTTACCGAAGCCACCGGTCGTTGCTGATTCTGAAACAGCAGAGGTAGACGTCGCTGAAACGATCGTTCTACCGAAAAAGACCGACAAACTGGATTTCACCAGGTTCGTTCATTTTGCACACAATTCTTCCAATTATTTCCATTTTACTTGAGGGTAGGTTGCATGCATGGCGCATTGTGGAGGGCTTCGTATGAAATCTATAATTCATTACCTGCTTCTGTTTTGGTATGATTTTACTTCCCGATTTCGTTGGACTCTATTTCAGAAGATGGCTACACGACGATTTGTCGTCGTTGGCTTTCCAACCTCCCGCACCTGTTATGTTCTTCCCCGAACCGGTACGTCTTGATTTCATAAATAAACTGATTTTCGTCTGAGTGGCTTTTGAATAGAACAAGCCCGGCAATAATTGTAAGATGTTTCCCTCAAATTAGACGATCAATATACGGTTTTTTAAAAATTAAATCAAATCGAAAACTCAGTCAAACTGATCTAGAATTTTGTTTTTTTTTTGCACTTTCATAAAATTTTGAAAGTTTCTCCTTTCTCGTTAAACTCAACTCGAGTTGAATAAAATAAAGCCGGAT